AAACTGATAACAAATAATGTAAGAGGACTATATTTTTATTAAATAAATGTTATAGTTCTTAAATAAATTAATAATTTAGATGCAACACTTATTAAATAAAACACTTAAATGTCTACCACAAAATAACTTTCAAAATTAACAATATATTTGTAAATATTGAAATTAGAGTAATACAAGAACAATTTTTCGGGAAGCCAGATTTTTTATTGGAAAATAAAAATTCTTAAAATGTATGCATAAGGTCAAAATAATTTTCCATAAAAAATTATTATTCAAGAAAAATTTTAAAACAAATAACATTTTTCATAAATGCTTTTAGCCAATAATAATAAATTATCATCATCATCATCATATTTGGCTAGACAGCCCAGGGTGGGCCAGTGCCTNTCCATAAAAAATTATTATTCAAGAAAAATTTTAAAACAAATAAAATTTTTCATAAATGCTTTTTGCCAATAATAATAAATTATACAATTAGTTAATATTAAATATTTTTTTTTTTTAGTTTTCAGTTTGCAAACAACATAAAAAATTGTGTTTATTGTTTCTTTTTGATAAAAAGAGGAAAAAATCAACTCTATAATTAACTCTATGCGCCATTCAACGTTCAGAAATCAAAACAGAAACAATGTTTTCATAAATTAGTTAAGGAGGATGATAACTTTCCACGTATGAAACCCTAAACATATTCAATTTGATTTTCACTTAATAAAATTTATAAACATGCATAAGTTTTGTCTGGAACCATCTTCTTAAAACCTATAAATATATTTTCGAAGCTCATTGTTTACTCGTCAAGGAAACTCTCAACCACTTCCTGCTTAAAAAGAAAATTTTGACACAATTAGTAACACGTCAACACAAATTGTGTGAACTTTTTATACCATAAACCACATTTCGGAAAAAAGGGAAACTTTAAAAAAAAGAACTACGCCATTGTTTAAGAAATTATTTAAAACGCGTTTGGTCGTTATTTTACTAAGATAAAGCCTATTTCATATCTTAGAATCTTATCAGGTGTTTTGATGCGGTCAAAAATAGTCTTTAATCAGCTTTTTTTTTAAAATTTAGTTTCACGCAACACATTTAATAAACATTCGCAGATTAACGGCACAATAACTCAAAGACGGGGCACACAAACCGAATTCATAGATAATTAACTATGGAGAAAAAGGGAACTTCCGGTATAAAAGGAAAATCACCACTTTTATGCTGGTTACAATATAAAACGTTAAGAATCTTAATCGTAAACTACGTCATTCGAGGAGGGAAGGGAATTAATATTTATTTTTCCCTGAAATTATAACAGATTGCAAAAAGATGCAGAAATGATCCTGTAAGCATTTTTTTATAAAATTTCAATGGCATTGTTATGGAAACACTTTTTTCATCACTTTCAGAATTTTGTTACGTTTCTTCATAACTGTTTTGGCTTTATTACATTTCTGCGACTCTGTGTGATGTATGGATATTGTGGTCAATAAGTTGACGTCGTATCAAAATGTTCCGAGTTCGAATCCCGCTTTGGGTATGGATGTCATTCATTTCTTTGTTCTATTTGTCCTTGTTGTGATCCTTTATTCTCCGTTGTTCTCCATTTGTTCTCCTTTGGGTGACATTCATCCAATTATATGATGTCCACGATAAAGTGATTATTAGAAAGGTGAGATAATTTAGACGCTTTGAAATTTTGATTTATTTATTTTAAATAAAGAAAATTGAAGAAATATCTCTTTCACTTGGACAAAATTTGTTTCCTCAAAGAAAAGACGACAATTATTTCGTCAGTGTGATGCAATTTTTGTTCAGAACATATACCAGAAAATGGTTTTGTCGAAAACGAAGAAACTTTTGTGAAATTTTAGTATCAGTTTCTTACAGTGTGCCTATTTCTTTTCACGTTTTATTTTTTAACTCATTTAACGGAGTACCTCTAACAATCAATTCTAACCCGTTATATTTTAAGCTATTTGTTTTTGGCTAATAATTCTACTTAAAATTCAAAATAAATCGCCTATTCGAACTGTTGATAACTAACCCATCGCCATTCGGCAGCATTAGAACTTGCTAATTTTCAAGATTCATTCCAAGTAAATTCCAAACATTATTCCTCAGGTTTGGAATTTATAAATTTTTGGTTCATTAAATTTTCATATACATCTCACTTTTACTACCATTCAACAAACTAAATGGAGCTCAAATTTGGTAAATTTTTTTTTACATTTGAGCAGAAATAAAATAAGTTATCATTTCTGAATTACGTTGTGGTTATTGCGTAATCACAAGATTTCATCACATCACAAACCTAACGCGAAAAGCAGATTTTATTGTTTTTTTTTTATTATTATGAGTTAAAATATTTATTTTAATCTTGCGCAATAAAAAAAGGCAACTCAACAGCTTAAATATAACTGCGATTATGCTTTAGAGATTAAATGCTTTAGAAATTTGAAAAAGAAATACTTGTTTGATATCCGCCATACTTTGCTCTTTAATTACTACAGTATGACAAAGTAGAATTTATTTTGTTCTCGCATTTAAATGGAATGGAAATTCGTTAATGATAACTTTAATATTTACTTCCATTTTTTGTGTATATTAGTGAGTATTTTTAATATAAAAATAATGTGAATTTCACAATTCTCATTTAACGTCATAGAATTATTTTTAATTTCTACATTTAGCAGGATGTGTTGACTGCAAAAATCTATGCATCCATTTAAAGAGTTTTAATTTTGTAACGTACAAACACTTGTAATTCATAAGCAATTTGGGAATAAACATATTTTTATTAACATCTTAGATGCATAAAAGCAATTTTGCAATTTTAAAAGATTCGCATACTCTGTTGCTTAATTTATTCCATTTTTTCCTATATTTCCATTACAAAGAAAGACAATATATTTCATCATCATATCTGTCAAGCAATGCATTTGTCCCTACGGATTCATAGTGATTAAAATACAAATAAAAGGAAACAGTATATTAATTAAAATAAACAGGGATTTCAAGCAACTATACTCTCCAGTAGATATTTGTGTGCTTCGTAATTCGTATCTTTATAAATAACCTTTTTATTAGTATACAATGCAAAAAAGCAACAAAAGAAACGGAACACTTTGAATAACTTTTGATTTAATGATCAGAGATTCACTTACTAGGATTCACTTTAAATGATGTAAAGGGGTGAACTCAAACATGGTAATTAAATAGTGTAGAAAGTATTTTAAAGTACAAAATCAGACTTTCTCTGAATCATCATATTTTTATTTCAACGGATTTGGATTCATTACCTTCAAAATACTTTGAGGGTTTTTTTGTTTTGTTCAAACTGCACAATACGGCCCCAATAATTTGGTCTGAAAAACGTTTTAAAGTTAGGAACCCTTAAAGATAATTTTACTTTTTGCATATTTCACCTTATCTCATGAATTTTTCAAGCGAATTGCCAAAGATTAAAAAAAAAATCTAGGATTAAAATATTTTTGCACACACTTTCCTCATTTCTGTACATAGTAATAAACTCCTTTTTTAAGCTAATTCCATACACAAAACAGTTTTTAATAATTTGCAACTACTATTTATTAGTTTTTTAAAAAAATTAATTCAACTCTAAAGTATAAACAATTTTCGATCATTTTTAAGAAAATAGTTTTTGTTAAGCAAAACGAAATCAGTAGACTAGTTTTTAAGAAAGCAATTTCTTAACAAATATCTCATACGTGTTTTTTGAAAATAATACTGTTAAAAATATTTATTCTTCCAAGCAAGGAAAAAACTGTTTTATAACTATATTATAAATATAAATTTCTCTTTGGAAAAAGCTTACTTTACTGTAATATAATTCTTTAGGTCATTCTTAAATTTATTTTTCATACATTTTGGTCTTGCTGAATTTAAGTAAGAAATATATTTTATAAAAAAAAAAATTTATGTCGATGCAAATTATTATTAACTAAATATAAATCAATCTTAACAACTAAAATCTTTCTCCACCTCTTTCAAATTGAAGGCTGGAAATTTTACTCTTAACATTTTATTCCGAAATCATTAAATATAGTGTGTTTATGACTAAATACAATTGTTAAAAATTTATTTGAAAGATATTTTATATTGATCAGGAAATAAAAAACTTTTTTATAGAACAACAATCTAATTACTCTGGTATAAGAAATTAAGAGGATTTGCAGACTTTTTCAATTATCTCTAGAAATACTAGACCGATTATAATGAAATTTGTTATGTACANAATTAATTAGCATATTTGAGGTCACCCCCGGGAACCATTAAGATTGACACTTAGATCGTGAAAATCCGATCATTAGAACAAAAGTTATTCAGGGTGATATCTTTTTTTTTTTGCTGACTGTACATACATTGATACAATACAAAACAAATAACCATTCAACAATTGTAATGCATACCTCATGATTGTGCGCAACAATCATTGGAGTCTGAAGGTATGAAATTACCACAGGTCAATTCAGGCCAATTGCCACAGTAAATGATAAACTGCCTTCTTTCAAGTATGAAATCACGTTGAAAAGCCTGTAAAGGGGAACGATACCCCCTATAAACACTTATTTATTTTGTTTATTCTGCAACCGCCGTTTCATACCTTTCGACTCCAACGAGTGTTATGCAGCATCATTCTTGTGTATTACAATTGCTTAGTGATTATTTGTTTTGTATTGTATCGATGTACGTACATATCAAATTTCATTAAAACGTCTCCAATAGTTCTGGAGATAATAGACCAAGTCTGAAAATTGTCTTAATTTCTTACACCAGTATAAGTTACAGTCTATGGTATAAACTTTATGTATTTTAAAAAGAACTTCAGTTATTTGTAAACAACGAGTAAATAAGTAGCTTTATATTTGTTCACACATTATCTACCTGAATACATTTTCCATTTTCGCTGCATTCCAATAAACAAACAAATAATAACCCTGTTCAGAAAAATTGCAATTACATTTATGAATGTTTTTTTCCTTTAGCTCCCTCCGGATGGGTTCAGTTATTACTTCAAGAGGAAAACTTATTAATAGTAGCAGGGATATCTGGAGGAATCGGTATTCTACTCATTATTTTTCTTACAACAGCAGTAGCAATTGTGTTACGGCGAAGAATGAAAGGTAAAAATATTCCATTATTTTTCTTATCGTTTTAAAATCCTTTATTAAAAATGTACCTTTTTTATATAAAAAAGAAGTTACAGTTAGTATTTTAAAATGGTGTGTTTAATAAGGTTAGTATTTTAAAACAGAAAATCTTTGTCTTTATAATTGCAAGCGATTCATTTATTAATTATTAAATATATGAAAGAAAATATTACATGCGACAATTGTATTTTTAAAACAAAATATATTAATTCACAAATTTTATTTTGAATGAATTCGCTTTCATGTACGAGCTATGAAAAATTTCAGATGAAATATAATGGGAAACATTTTTTGGATTGCTCAAAAAAGCGGTTCCTGTCAACAAAAAAATTCTCGATTTTCTTATTCTAAACAAGAATTTATGTATTGTGCTTTTATGTAGTGAACATTCTAGAAACTTAAATGGAAAAACCTACCTACATTGTGAAAAAATATGATCAAAGTCGAAATTAAAACAAAATGACAAAATTTAACGTGTTTCTGGTTCTATGGGAACACCAAAATGTTAAGTAATATTAACCGAAGTGCTTTGGTAAAGATTTTGGTAAAATTAAAAGTAAAGTAGGTTTTACAATGTACAACAAAGCTTGATAGATGCAGTAAAATTTGGTAACGCAACATAAAATCAATTTATTCGGTAAATTTTTTTTTCAGTTTTGCATGTCTTACAAAATGGAAAAAAAACTTTCATTTCGAAAACCAGAATTTCCGTTTAACTGTTCGAATATGAATGGAAAAATTACTAAATGAATGGTTTAATACAGTTTATTTTGGTTTTATTATTAAAATTATTATTATTATGGTTCGGTTTCATTATTGAAATTGATCAATTAATCAGTCATTATTATACAGATTTTTTTCCTCCAATTAGAATTATTTCGAAGAACCTGTATGAAGTAAAATTATAACATGTGCTTATCTTAGCATTATACAGAAATAACCAATTCTTGTGAATATATTAGAAAATTACCTGCAATAGATAAATCAATCAGTTGCTGCAATATTGAGGTTGTCCATAGCAACACGGTGTTCACACCATTTAATCTTCAAATGAAGCTACGTTTTCAATAATTAAAATGTAATTAAAATAAGTATTCATCATGCTCTCTTTCCCTTAATATACTCTATGTGATTTTACAATTTATAACAAAATTTCATTTGATAACATGTTTACTTGATCAATTGATTATTTGTTAACAGTTATTCAGTGCAAACATATTATACACTTATAAAAAATAAGAATAAAGAATAAGAAATGTGGATTACGACACGTAATCTTAGATAAAATATATAAATAAATAAAATTTATTTAAAAATTACCCTTGTTATAGAGCAAAGTGAGTAAATAACTTCTGGAAAGTTCACTTGAGAATAGTTAATCAGTTAGAGTTAAGAAAAAATAACAGGAATAATATATTTACATAAGATTTCACTTATATTTGCAGTTCGCATTTGATTATTCTTACTTCTAAATGTTTTGAATTCATAAATTACTATTTAATATCCCAAAAAATTTAAGAAAATATAGAAAAAGCTTTAAAAGCAATAATAATTTTAATAGAATTATAATTTTTAGATGGCAGTTTTAACAGTATAATAATTGATATATAATTTTAAATTGAAATTTTACTTAAAAAAAAGTATAGTATTGAGATAGATAAATTTTTTTCATGTACTGCAATTTTATTTTTTAAATATTTACAATTTTTACTAATATTGATTTCTTTTTAGCTAATAGTAAAGAAGCATTACAAGAAAGACACCAGTAAGTAAACTTCATCTGCTTAATTTAGCTTTAAATTCATTAAAATACACATAAAAGACTTACAAGGAACATATAAAAATGCTTCAAGATAAAAAAAAATGCTTTTGTGATGCTAACGATTACCTTAATGATAATCACAATGACTTATAACTTTGAAATTCTTGAAATTTTTGTTTTAATCTTTCAATTGTAAGCGTGTGTTAAAAATTTAAATTAATAATTGTAATGCTGTTTATTCAAGCATTCGCTCTCCATTTTCTAAAACTACAAGGCTGACTTTATTCATAAATTTGCTATTAAAACGTTTTGAAACAATTATTTTAATAGATATTTTAATGTTCTCTTAAAAAAGCGAGTTAAAAATATATCCATTATAATGTTCATTTTAAAAGTTTATAACGAATTAGAGTTGTAAACTAATCATTAAGCAAGAGGGATAAGAAATAATGTAATTTATTTGCTAATACAAGATCCATTAAGTACCAGATTGTTTATAGTTTCCCTTTCTAAATTCAATTCAGTTACTTAATAGCATAAGAGAAACAAATTATTAAAAAGAAGAATAGATTCTAGTCGAAATAAGTTCTAAACGATATTCTGTTATTCTGCATTGGAACTCCATTCCTTGCAATCCGAACTCTAAATTGATTATGCAATTACCGTGTTTCGGTAAATGGGTAATGGACTTGAATCGGTTCAATAATTCCTACCCTGTAAGCATTAAATAGATAATTCCTTTTTTTAAAAAAGAAAAACAAAGGCTATATAATTTCGAAATAATGTCGAAATTTTAATTTTTATTTGATACATTTGGAATGCAGCTTTTTTTAATGCAAAATAATTATTTTACGTGGATTAAAAAAATAGGCAATTCTAAATATACCCATTTTCATTTAATATTAAACTGTTAAGGAAATGAAATGCAATATTATAAGAAACAGACATACAAAGAAGTTGAATGTAATTTTTCTTTAAGAAAGAATTAAGTCAAGACACTACTTTAATTGTAAAAGTTTTTGGTGGCTAACTACACTGTAAAAATTCTGGATCAAAATACAGTAAAAAATAACCGGTTCTCAGACTTTTTTTTCTTCTCAAAATGTTTTTACTTTCAATTATGGCATTTATTTTCATGTTATTATTATTCAATTTTTATGCGTCGATTATTCGTCGTATTTTTATGTGATATTTATCTTCATACGCCGTATTTATACTTCAACTATTCATCTGCTTTTCATAAAAATTTCGTAAGAAATTTTAAACATAATTAATAGATAAACTTTAAATAAAATGAACATACTCTAAAATCAACTGAGGCAATATCATCTTGATGAGTTACACACAAAGTTTAATTTCTTACTATTTTATTACGAAACCATTAAAAAGTTTTCCTTAATTATTAAAATAATTATATTTAAAAAAAACTAGAAAATTTTTAACCCAATATTTTTTCATCCTTGTTAATTTGTTACTGACAATAAATTAGATTTATTTGTATTGCAAATAACTAGTGCTAAAAGCTTACATATATCTCCATATCTATATAGCTATTAATACTAATTATTTAGGTAACCAGTAAAATATTACAGAGGTGAGTAACAAGTAACAAACACATTTTATTTAAAGAACACATTTGCAATTTTTGAAAACTTTGGGCAAGGACTACAAGTGGAATACAGACTCTCCGGGATTATCTTGCATGCAATTTAACGATATTGTCTTTTTCATAAAAATTGAGTTTTATACCATTCTGTTTCGTTCTTTTATTTATTTATATATATACATATATACACTTTTCTTTTGCTTGTGATATACATAAAAATTCAATATTTTATATAACGTAATCCATTGCATATTCTTTATTTTAGTCATCATGGAGATAGAGCAGCTGATTCCACACCTATTGGAGCTTCGCCGTTGCTGTCAGGTCACAGGCAAGACGATAGTCCACTTTTAAGAAAAAAATTCCCAGGTAAGCTAAAACGCTTATTTTAAGTCTATTGACTCGCAATCTACCAATCGACTAATGTTGCCGTAAGGGTGGCATGAATTTGTCCTTTATTTTAGCCAATGATATGTAACATTTCATTATTCTTATCATTGTCATATTCAAAATGAACTAAAATATAAATAATTATTTAAGTATTAATAATCATTATAATTATATGTAAAAGGAAATAAACGTAAAATCCTTCCTATCGTTAAGGTGGAAAGCACATGAGTCACGACATACTGACTTAAAAAACTAAAGTGATATTACAATTTTGAATAATTAAAAACATGAATGAATATTAAATCTTGGCAAAATTTTTCCTTTAAGTTAAATACTCTCAAGTAATTGTTAAATAATGTTTTTAATTGTTTTGATTTTTTAACACACATTTCTGATGAAATGAAGTTATTAAACTCATCTCATCATATTCTCACATAATTTGCTCCATGTAACGAAGTACATATTTTATGCCACAATTATTTTTTCTTCTTTTGCACTCACAATCATAAGGATTCAAACCTCAACCTGCGAGATATTTCACGGACTAAATTGCTTGAGCAGCATTTATTATAAAGTTTCCTTATATAATATTTTTGTTATTTATTATAGGATCAAACTAAACGAAATAATTAATTTCTATTCAACCTCTTATAAAGTAACGACGCTTTTCTTATTTTTTTGTTATTTTTTCATGACTGCCTGGAAACGTATTTAAAAGTTAGGAAACCTGTCTGACACGTAAATGTAACGTTTTGTGTTATGATAAAGTGTACTAAAATATTACATTCATAATCTATATTAAATATATCTTTAGATTATTTTCCAAATCTTGTATAATTTATAAATAGGTTCGAGGAAACAGTTTTAGTAAAGAACATAATTGTTTATTTAAATTCTCGTTTGTACTCTAAAATCTAGTTAAAATGAATGAAAAATACTCTGATCATAAGAAAAAAAATTCCAATTGTAGGAACTTTAAAATATTGATGCCTAATTAAAAATCAGCAATTGTTACACATTGTTTTTTCCTTTTGGTGTTTTTATTCTTTAAAAAGTGATAAAATGCAACATTAAACCGTGATAAAAAGTCTAGAGAAAAATATAACATTAAGCGATAACTTAAGGCCGAATAACTCAATGGAAACTTTAGAGCTATGCAATATGTCGTGCTGATTATTCACTTCACATCGACAACTAAGATAGTATTTTCGAACAAATTTAAACGTAGCATCATTTATACCACAAGATAAAATTACATATAATAACCAAATAATGCTTTTAGATTTTAAATATTTGATTAATAAAATTATTTAGCAAAGTTTATATTTAACTCTTCGAAAGATAACTTTGAGTTTCACAATTTTATTTTAATAAATTACTTGATACATTACAACTAGAGTATTTAAGAAAAGGTTACAGAGATGATCAAAAAAATATTTTACTACTTCCTTTTGATAGAAAATGCTTTCGATTATTGTTTAATTATTTAATGTAATTTTAATGGTATTACTTAATAATTGTTTAGTCAAAGCGTGCAAACCTAATACATATTCAATTTGGGTCATCGAAATCTTAAGGAAATGAACAAAAAAAAAAATTATCATACTTATTTATCTTTTAATTTTAAGTTATTTTTGGTACTTAACTGTTGGAAGTTGTAAAACGGGTTGAACCACATTATCGCAGACATTTTCTGAAACCATAATATATTGATAAGGTGAACCAAATTACAGTACCCTTAATGGTGTCAAGTAGCTACAACCAACCTCAAAGTTTGTTATTTAGTAACACTAAGTCTTATAACAACAGCAAGATATGATACACACAAGAATCAGTAAACTTATTTTTATGAGACAATCTAAAATAAAAATCAGAAATTTAGGTTGCATACATGCGCCGGTTCTTCAAATAAAATGAGTTGGTAAATAAACCATACACGCAGCAGAGAGAAAAATAAGACGAATTAGAGACTGGGATTAACAGAGCAGGAGTGGATGGAGACTATACATTATAAATTTCTTTAAAATAGATCATAGACACTTAAAAATTAAAATATAAATAATAAAGAAACGTACATACATATTTTTATCGGTGAACTTTAGTTTCCGCAGATGAAATTAAAAATTAAAGACAGTCGCAATCATTCGTCAACTGTTTATCGATCGTAAACAATATTAGACACAATTTTTTTCAAAAAAAAATAAATTATGAGAAAACGTGCCAAGATTGGAGTTTTCCGAAGAAAAAATATTTAACGTATGACGTTAATGCAAGTGAACAGGGAGTAAACCTCTTGTATTTTCGTCGTTTCAAGTTTTCATACACCAACGCACTTTAAATTGTCGATAAACGCAAGATTTGGTGTTAATTTGAAAAAAACTGTTTCTTTACGCAACTTTTACGTTTGATCAACATTGAAATTTGAAAGATATTACACCACAGCCATTACAGTGCATAAATTATTCAAGGGAAATATTCTCTTTTTTTAACATTTTAATATATATTCCTGCTTGTTTCAGAATATTAGGCCATTAAAAACAAAAATTTCATGAATTTCCTGATAAATTTTATTCTGATAAACTCTCCGTCAATGTCAATTTTTATTTCTAATAAATAAGGTTATTTCTATTCTCACCGAATAAATGAAATATATGGGTGTTATCCTATATCTTTCTTCGGAAACTAAATGATTCATCTATGAGATACTATTCCCCAGTGAGAAAGGGAGGCCTGTTATTTTCTCTAAAACCCTCTTGGGTATCGTACACCACTCGAAATTGCTACGTCCGTCTTTGAGCATTTGTCAAGCGGGGTGTTGGTGGACTCTTGGAGTGTATGACTTTAATACGTCCAAATATTTTTCTTGAGTCACCCTCTTTCCCTTATTTCCTGAGTACACAACCCTGTGCAAACATATACTTCAGAGACATTTATTATATTAAAGCTTGCATTGGAGCAATAGTTTTTTTTCTTCTTTTTTTTTACATTCTGAAGGTACGAATCAAAAATGTAATCTTAATCGAATTAAAAAAATTTATAAATATCAGTCAAAATTACTTTTTAAAATAATATCAAGCATTGAAATCTTAATTTCAACAAAATAATTAATTGTAGAAAAATTTGATGCACAAAATACTTAGGTGATGCAAAATATGTAAAGCAAAATATATATTCTGAACACTATATTTAATATTTAAATAATTATAGCTCGTACCCCAGGAGTTGGCACTTGGCTCCACCTTTTTGGAAGATGAGGGATTAAGAGTAAAAATGCCTCCGCGCATGAAATTGAGACAACCCTTAATGCGCTCCAAACGCAAACAGTGAATTCTTTTTAAGTCACTTACTTTGCCATCCTTACCTTTACCTTGCTATACCTTTTGTTACTCTAGCTAATTAAATGTATTGCAGCAAAAGGTCTCGAAAAAAACAAACTATTCACTCAAAAGAAAAAAATATCAAATTTATGAAATATTTAATGTTAAGAAATGCACATTAAGAATGCGAAATAAATATTTTAGTCATACGATCACCAACCAGCAATCGTGTTCAGGATTGTTCACATCCTTTCCCCAAAAATAGCGAAATAGTACCGTCAAATGCCACGTGATGAAGGCGGAGCCAAGTGCCAAATCCTGGTGAACGAGCTATACTAAAAAAAAAAAAATTTTTTTTTAAATTTAAGGGAAGATATAGATTTAAAAGATTTTGTAAAGCATATGTATGCTTTAAATCAATGTAAAATCCATTTACACGTTTTGTTTAAACTAAAAATGAAAAGAAAATAATGTTTAAAATTATACTTAGATTTTTATATATTTTAGTATTGAAAAGTGTTATTTAATTCACGTGATATGTTGTGTAATTCAATCCCATAGATTTCTGTAAAAAATAACAAATACTGTAAAAAATTCTATAAAAATCATAAACAACACTTAAGTAACATTTCCCCATCCCCAATAGTTATTTTTCATAATCAAACATTTAATTATAATAATTAAATATGTATTTATAATAACTAATTATTCATCACCAAATTATTTATTAGTCTAGTCTAATCAGTCTATAAATCCAGCCAGGTAAGGTAGACGGTAAAATGTCATATTAGTACTAATTTTTTTTAATATTTCAGAAAAATAAAACGTGTAAAGCACGCATAAATATTTTTCTCAAATTATTTTAGTAGGTGCTGTAAGAAAATTTCATCACGAGTGCCAAATCACAGACTTAAGAGAAATCTGAAAGTATTTTCTTTCAGCGACATTAATTTCTAATTTTTTCCCGGTATATTGACGCAGATGGTAGCACTGTTTGTGCAAAAGCAAAAGAACTTTACACGATCTTTTCCACATTGTTTTAACCCAATACGGACATAAAACTACTTTATCTGTATAAAGTTTACGACAAAATGCAAAGAAATGTATACTCTTAACCATTAATATTAAATATAAAAAACCTGCTAATCTGACATTGAGTAACATATTTAATATTGCATTTTTTTTTGAATATTGAAAATAACATAGCTAAATTAAAGTGTATGTGTGTATACAGCGTATTATTTAAAAACCTTGTTTCAATAAAATAGCATTAACGCATTTTAAATTGAACACTGGTTTTGTGATGGTTAGTATTAACAAAATTATTTTAATAAACTTTCTCTTAAATCACGATCCTCCACGGATTTATTTCACAGCATGCGATACGATGTATTTTATTTAAAACAACAAATAAACCATTGATTTAAAAGCGGCTCTCTAGCTTAATGAGAAAGTTCAATGAAAAATTTCTATGAAAATTTGAGCGATATAATAGAAAAATTAATTATAAGTCTTGATAACAGTATCCGATTGCATTTGGCCCCAGCTATATCAAGAGAAAATTAATGATGTTTATGATATTAATAATAATTTGTCATTTATAAGGAATTTGCTATGTAGTGAGATTCCATAACTATAATTTTTCCTGCATGCATTACAAAGCGTCTCGTGTATTTAAGGCTGTAATTAAAAATTTCAGCTTACGTGCACTCTATAGTCGTTGCACTGACTTAAATTGAATTCCTTTGATGGCGCATTTTAGAATAACAGACTAATAAACTTTATGAAACTAAACTATGGATATAGAATTTCAGTTCTCACTGAAAATAACGCATTTTAAGACCATGCTGGTGAAAGATGTGCCATTTTATAGAAAGAAGAGTTTAACTAAAGACAGTCTGAGTAGTCAAAATTTAATTCGAAATACTGATTCTAATTTGCTTTTATAAAAATGAACAAAACATTTATCTGAAATAAATATTCTGTGTTAATTTAATTTTAAATTATTCTAAATTATCTTCCTCAAGGTGCTATGATTTTAAATGAAATACCTGCTTAAAAGTTAAAAACCGAAAATACATCGAAAATATCATGCCATAAACGTTTTAAAAAGCATTTTTTTCTTTAGCTTCCTTTGATTTTTACTTTAAACTCAGATGTTAGTCATTTATATGGTATCTTTAACTAAAGACCGGATTGCTGAAATTCATTTTTTTCTTCCTTATTTAAGTTGAGAAATATGTTGTTATGCTTTTGATACCTTGGCTCTAATCACGTTATATATCAATATCTACTTTAAAATTTCAGAAAACTTTACTCCACTTACCTGTCACTTCAAACGTAATGATTACTCAGAAAAAATTCTAACATATATGATATTTAAACTATTCATTTGGTAATTTTCATATGGTATGCCATATATGATTTGCCTGAAAGGTTTTTAAAAGTGTATGCGTTATTAGTTAGTAAATATACTAAACTAAAAAGTAAATTTAATCAAATGCCATGCTCCAAGTTGTCATTTTAAAATTACTGAATACTGCCAAGTTGACCAAATTTAGCACACGTTATAAAACCATATTTTATTGTTATTTTACCAAAATCTTAACCAACGTGCTTCGGTAAAAATTACAGTGTTTTTTTAAGTTTTCATGGAACCAGAAGCACTCTATATTTTGCAATTCTTTGGTAGTTTCTGTCCATACGTTTTTTAGTGTAAAACTTACATAGTGTGTGATGTTGATATTTAACTTTCAAAAAACTTTTTTTCCAGATCATGAATTCGTATATCATGATCCCACCCTAGAAAAATCAAATGGAATTTATAGAAATCAACAAGGACGAAAGCTTGTCGGATGACAAAAACTGAATCGACCAGAAATAAGGACCACTCTCATGTAAAAGGTAAAGCGTATTATTTTCCTTAAGGCAAAAAATGTAATAATAAAAATACAGTGTAATAAAAAATGCTATATAATTAAAAAATGTAATGCGATCAAATAATGTATACTTCAACTTAACTTAATTTCAATTCAACTTTATTTTTAATTTGTAAATTTCAACTTTAGGGGGTGGAATCCTTAAATTAGAACTTACTGTTTTTAAACTATCTAAACTATTCAAATTTCAATAGTTTCCTGACCTTTACGAACAGAAATAATTCCCAATGAATTTGACGAGTTTCTAACGTCAACAGTTTTAAAGAACACAAAGTTAAAATTGCTAAATAATAATAAAATGATTTTTAAAGCATAATTCCTAACCTCTTGTTCCATAAATTTCTAGTTTCATAGTTCTCAACTTCATAATTCGTTTTATGATTTCCTAACCAATCCATTACCAACCACTGCGGACAGAATTTATTACCAAACACAAAAAAACACAAAAAAAACAACATAAAAAAGTTAAAGAAACAAACACAAAATTGTAATTAATTATAAAAGATTTTTCAGATCCTTGTTTCCTAACCGCTTGTTTCAAAATTTACAGTTTCATAGTTACATAGTTTTACAGCTTGTTCCGCAGTTTGACCATTACGACAGAATTCGACCACTTTCGAACATAAAATAATTAAAAGAATACAAAATTAAAAATAATCAATAAATAAATAAAGAATTTTTAAATTAAACATTTCCAAACCAATTGTTTCATAGCTGCCTATTTTCATAGTTTTCAGTGTAATAGTCTCTTGTTTTATAACTTATTTCCGCCATTCTGAAGCTCTTAGATTAGTTCATTCGTTAATCATTTACGTAATAAAAGTAATATATTAAACCAACTTTTTTTTTCTACGATAAATTACTTAAACAGAAAAATAACCTTAATTTTTCGAAGAAGAAAAGTTTCCGCAGTTATTTAATTTGAGAAAATTTCGTAGACTGCACTAGTAAACGATTTTGAGACTTTAAGTCTCCACCCAAGAACTCTAATCTTATGTGTTGGCTAATAATTTTCTATTAAATTGTGATTTTCAATAAGCTTTGTTTTTATGAGTGCATTTTCCGATTTTAAATAAAATGTCATTTCACACAAGAATTTTTTCGATAAAATAAGCAAGATGTATTTAATACCCACTTTATTCATATATATCACTCTTTATGTATGTATGTTCTAGAAAAGTAATAGTCTTCCTATTTGATCAACATTCTTTCCGCTGATAAGCTCTTTTTTCGAAGAACTAGGAGATTTTTTTACCTAGTGATTTCTTTTCCGTGAGCTTAACCCTTATTCACAGACATCGATTCCTATCATTTTCACTACGCATGTGACCTATTCATGACCTAATCTTATTTCTGTTTAAGAATGTATATTTTTTCCTTTTTATAAATAAAATATATTTGGAGATTACAATATATTATGGGTATTTTACAAGTAAAGGCTCTGATGATATTTAAAAAATAGATTCATAGTGTAGTCAAATTTAGAGTTAGAATTTTTTTTTCCTCACTTTTCACAAGGATTTATAAATATTATTTATTACACTAAGTGTTTCGCAAAGATCATTTTTATAAAAATTAAAGGCTCTGTTCAAGTTATGGTCAGAATTTAATATTTTATCCAAGGAAAATGAGAAAGAAAACTTATTACATTCTGATAAAGCGGGGAAGCAAGCTATCAAAACTCTTTTGATTTCCCAAAGAAACTGAGATGAGTTAAAATGTGATTATTCAAAGCAAATTCAAGCTTCAACCCTTAATCAAACTGGATTTTTGGATGCTTTATACGCCGAAGAGCCATTATATTGTGACCACCCTCCATCTATAACAATGGGCTCGCCCAGGTTTTCATGGTTTCTCGGCCAAGAACAATGTTTTCATGGGGCACATTAGGACCCATAATCCTCATAGAACAATCCTTGACGTCCGTAAGCTACTTGAACATAATTGCCGACCAGGTTCACCCATTCGTGGCAACAGTTTTTTCCTGCAGGGGATGGTGTTTACTAACAGGATAATGCACCATGTCATAAGGGTCGAATAGTTGAGGAACATTCCAGTAACTTTCAAGTCATGTCTTTGCCCCCAAATTCACCTTATCTTAATGCAATAGAGCATTAGTGGTCCTACTTGGAAAACCAAATTCGTGCTGCCACGCTACCCCCTCGCAATGTGAGGGAATTGCAGGACCAGTTGGTGAGCGCTTGGTACCAAATACCTCAGACTGCCTATCAGCACCTTGTGGAATCAATGCCACTGCGGGTGCTAGCAGTTTTGAGGGCTGAAGGTGGTCCTACATGTTATTAGCAGGGTGGTCATAATGCAATGGCTCTACGGTGCATATGGCTTTTTACGTGGTGCGATATTTTTTCATTTTTCCTCCTTTATTTTTGAATTGCTTTATTATATTTTATTACAAATGTATTATTTTGGAGTACCAGTGACTTTTTTCTTTATTTTTGACAAATATTACAAAAATATATTTTATTAGCTTCGGCTTCCTTAGAAAAAGGAAAATGAAAATGTATTGGTATTACTAGCTACTATTTGCTACAAAAACAACATTTATTGATGAAAAGAAATTCACATTCATAACTGTATTTTCTGCACGAGAACTGTTTACTTTCTAATTAAAGGAATTTTTTTCTTCCCTATAATGAAAGAATTTATGCATTAAAAGCATAGGTTTTTGAGGAGGTGGAAAATACCAACAAATAACACATAAAATAAATTTTGTTTTTGACCAAAAAAAATTATATCTGCTGCTTTGCAGTCTAATAATCAATATTAATTCCATATATTTGAGTGGTATTAGAAAAATCACATTCTAAACTCCATTACATTACCAACATATTAAAATATTGAATACATGTTTACGTCTTATTTACTACCGTGATATCGGAAAACTAAATTCAGCAGATAAAAATTTGGATGCTTATCTAGCATTTTCTATAATTAACTTATCTGCTCAGTGTAGTTTTCACGCAAATAGTTATCCTCGTATTATGCATCATTATCTTCAACATCTTAGAATCGTAAACGTCTTAAAGTGTCATAAAATATTTTAGTACATAAATTTGTACGTTCTTAACTGAAAAGCGTAAATCATGTCAAATTTGAACAAAAAGATAAAGGCAAAAAAGAAATAAGAGCAGGTATTTGCGTTTTACTACATTTTTAAACACTCCTTTCAAAAGTTATGTTTATGGACAATATATTTTATGAAATCTGGTTGTTGTTATCAATACTTTTAATAAAATAAATATTTATTCATATTTTCAAGACTAGCATTTATGAGTAATAAAACAGATTATTTCAGCAATTATACAGAATGAAACAACTACAATGGTGCAATTGGCAATTGATATGCTTCAGGAAATATGTTTTCAATAAATATATTTTCTCAATAATAAAAGTTAATGCATACAGTGTTAAGAATTTTTTAACATTTTTCCTGTCACAAATCATAAACAATATATATATTTACGAAAAAGTGATTATGATGTAATATGAATAGCTTTAGAATTTTAACAATTATAACCAATTATATTGAGATTATGATATTGTTATCCACGCATTAGGAGTTACATATTACAGTAATTCCAATCATCTGAATAGTTAAACCCATTTGTCAATTTCCACACTAATTGTGCGACAAGCAAACTCAGATTCTACATATACCATGTACAGTGCGTGAAATAATAAGCAGACCACCCTTAATAACTTTTAATCTAATGACCGGATCTTCACGTTCTCGAGGAGGTGACCTCAAATATGCAAATTTATAAGTTTAGATTTTAAGAATTTAGAAGTTAGAATTTAAGTTAAGAAAGCAGACACATGCTTTCTCGGAATAAACATACCTGTATTTCAATGGATTTGGATATTTGACATCCAAAATATATTCGGAATGGAAAAGTTCCCAGAGTTTTTTTTTCTCTGTGGGATAACCATAGTGTTAACAGGAATCGAAAGTGAAAAAAATATAAATTGTTAAAAAAGAAATAATTAGATTCTTTTACTCCTTATAAATTAATTAATTTTGATAGTTAAAAAAAGTCTAAAGATAATTCCATTTTACCACATTCATGAAAGATTGTTGTAGTTCATTTACGTCGCTCTAGAGCTGCATAATGAGCTATTGGCGACGGTCTTGGAGACATCCCTGAAGATGATCCGAAGACATGCCATCACAATTTTGTTCCTCTGCAGAGGGGATGGCACCCCGTTTCGGTAGCCCAGTTACCTGCACGCGTGATCGAGCACTTTACGGTAGAACAGTTTAACGAGGACCAATACCGCACACCCTCGGGCTGATCCAAGTGGTCACACACCCGCACACTGATCGCAGTCAGTGATGCTTGACTTCAGTGATCGGCTGGGAACCGTGTCTTAACGATCAGTCTTCTGCGGGACACATTCATGAAAGGATTGTATATCCTACTAGTGTAAAATGAGAGTTAAAATATAAAAGTAAATCATTCCAATGGATAATCTTTTTTTATCTCACATTAAGGTAAAATCTTTTGAGAAAACATTAAGCTTAAATAAAAGAAAAATCTAAACATTGTGTGTTCGACATAAGTTATTTATCAAAATATCTCACGTTGGCTAGTGTACCAGAACAAAAGAACGTTTTATCTGATATCACATATTTATTTCCTTTTCTTTCTTCCCTTCTCACATCTTGATTGAAGAGTATCTCTGTACAGAAAGATCACACACAAACATAGAAAGAAACTTTAAAAGCCTCACATCCAGTGGCCTTTTTGGCCTTAAGACATGACACTCACAACCCCAGCACGCTCGTAAAGTGTTGAGGCAGTTATAAAAACAAAGTTTTTATTCGGTCATAAAGACCGCCAAGGAACAAAATTCCACACTGAGAACACATTTCACAGGAAACCGTGTGAAGAATGAAAAGTAAGAAGAAAAAAAAGTTTTCTCCCATTTCAGACGTAAAATAAATTTTTTTTCGACAAAAATTTTCTCCAAAAGCCAATAGGATCATAAATTTAGTCTATGTCCACAGGTTGTCTCTGACTGTAACTTTCACTGATCTCTATGATGGGAAATGTGAAGCTTCTGCCATAACATTTTTCAAGTCTTTTATGTGTTAGGCGTATCAAAGTACGGTAAAAGTCTGAAAATATAAAATATGGGGATATTTTTGAAGAGCTGGGAATGTTCGAATGAATGCTGGGGAGATAAGCTGGGGTGATAAGACTCATTTATCATTCTTTACATAAAAGGTCTTTTGTTCCACAAAAAGTAATTTGAGGTCATAATTTTAATAATAGTTACGTTTCATAAAAAAAATCCAAAGCTTATTGTGTGTAAGAAATATGTTGTTTTAATAAGCGTAGCACGTGAGCAGTGATTGCGTTGCATTATAAGAATTAACATTTTATTACGTTTCACCTATTTTACTTTAATTTTACGAGTTATCTAAGATATTTTAGAACAAGACTAAAAAAACATTTGAAAAAATGATTCTTAAAAGATTTTTTTTTCTATTAAACTAAAAACTAACAGTTCCAAATTTACTATTTTAATGTCCACTTCTGACCAAACTATAGGGACCATATTTCCCAAATTGGGCTACCCTATATTTTGGGGATTAGAAATCCAAATCCGTCAAAAAAAGGTATGCTTAATCAGAGAAAGTACGTTTTTGTAGCTGATTACGTAACTTAAAATATCGTCTGCACTAACTTATTAGCATATTTGAGATTGCCCCTTCTAACCATTAGATTGTGTCCCAGAACGTGAAGATCCGATCATTAAATCAAAATTGCTCGGGGTGGTCTGTTTTTTTCTGGCACACTGTACATCTCCATACCCTTTTATTTAACACGATATAAAGGATTTATTCTAATAATAATTCATGCATTATTTTAAATAAGATATGCATTAAAATTAAGGTAGTTAACCATTAATATATAGTCCCGCAGTGGACTGATCTTTAAGACACAGTTTACAGCGGATCACCGAAGGTAAGCATCACTGGCTACGGTCAGTGTGCGGGTGGGTGACCACTTGGATAAGCCTGCGTCGGGGCCCGAGGTTGTGTGCTATTGGTCCTCGTTAAACTGACTCGTTAACTCGACTTCGCGTGCAGGTCGTCGGGCTGCCGAAGCGGGGGTGCCATCCCCTCTGCAGAGGATCAAAATTGTGATGGCATGTCTTCGGATCATCCTCAGGGGCGTTTCCCAGACCGTCGTCAATAGCCCATCGTGCAGCTCTAGTACGACGTAAATTAACTACAGCAACAACCATTAATATATACTAGATATAAAGTTTTCCCCTGTTAAAAATTTTATGATTCAAACAAACGAAAATTATATAATTTGGTATTTTGAACTTATTGAGCATGTTTATAGATGGAACTATCTAAATATCTAGAATTATTTTAAAATCGTTTTATTTTTGTTTCAGACTGTAAATCTCAAAGGACCAAGCGAGCTACGGGTAAACATTTCCGTAACTGCAATTGCTTGTACCTCTGTGTGCCTCTGCGACATGATATATCCCGGTGCAAGTCCAAAAGTTGAACACAAACAAAAAAAAATTGCTTTACCTGAGTGAGATTTATCACGAATTACTCCTCAATTTTGCCAATCTTACTATCCTTGAAACGGGAGCGTGCCCAATCCATGTATCACAGGATTCGTGTGTCTTAGATGTTGAAATCACGTGTGAATCTTTTTGTGTTTCTTTAATAAGAAACTGAGCTTTTTTCAGCGAAAATATCGTATTGTTTTATATATAAATAATATTATATACTCTTATGTGTGCTTTGTATAGCAGTTTTTTTAGAATGTGTTCGCAAATATGCTTCATACCATTATTACATTTACATCGCAGTGTTTTTGCTGGTAATACCTCTCTTCATAGCAATTCAGAACAAATAAATTACGTAATCACAACAGTTTGTGAATCAGCATCGGTGTAGTAAGTTTTTAAGGTATGATTTGAAAATATTTTATTCTGATTATTTGTTCATTGTATAAGGATCCATTGGAAAGATAATGAACGTTGCAATTTTTTTTATTGAGGGTATATTTGTTTGGAATGCCGTACAATTCTTCAAATTAAGTATTTTTCCGCGAATATATGGATTCAGTTAGATTTAAAAGTATAAATTGCTGCTTAAATATGTGGGTTTTGCTTCACTTTCTTTTATTTTTTTGAATTAGGAAATTTCTTTTCCGTGCAATATATTTATAAAATTTACATAAACTACTAAAATTTTCATCTTTGAAAAAAATCTTCAAAACCCATAACAATATGGGCAGATCTATTTTGATACTAACTCAATTTGTAAATGGTTTAATATGACGCAATAAATCCAAACCTATTGAAATCATGAAATTTTCAAGTATATATTTATGCATATATCTGAAAACTTAGCAATAAAAACGCTTTAAGTCTCTCCACAATCAATGAAACAAACATTAATTGTACATATATACAAAATTAAACTGGAACTGTTTTAAGAAGTAGTGCTTTATTTGTTTCATATCCGTATCTCTGTTCTTATATGTATTTCCACATGCTAATTGTATTGGCTGTCCCATAATAATGTACTGCACTGATTGTGTGTGGCACATTTTACACAAATGTCAATGCACTACATTTTAATAACTTACGAACTGCTTTGGGCTTTTTTGACAATAACAAATATCAGTGTCTCGAGGAAAAGGAAGCCAGCTGGAGATAAAATATCCTATTACAGAATGTTTTTAACATTTGAAAATCATCAGGAAAATAATTTTTCAAGCTGTAATGCATTAGTCTCATTTGATGACATGTTTTATGTAAAATATGACGTCAAAAGTATAGGGATGTAAATAAAGAAGAAGGAAAAATTGCAGTATGAGCACTTAACATTTTTACTCAACTCTGTTTGATGTCGAATATCTTTAACGTAGACCAGTTCCGTGCAAAATCCTCTTTTTGAAACAGTAATGATTTTTGAAATCTATTAGAGGTGTGTATTCAACGGATAATTATTTACTTAATGTTTCGGTGATTTTTATAAAATTATTTAAGTAAAACGTCAATTAAAAAAAATAGCAAATTTTAAAAATTAAGCTTTTTTTTTAATAACAATACATTGAATAAATTACTAAAAGTACAAGCATTTACTAATATTTGCATCAGTACTTTTTATCGTAATTTTTTTTCACGTTATATGTCTCTAAGTTATTCTGTAGTTTTAGTTCCTTTCATTTAGCAGATTTACACTTGTTAATGAACAGTTTTGAAATGTCAGGATTCGTCCGAAAGAAGTTCGATCGTTTTGTAGGTAAAGGAAAAGTGGGAACCACTGACGTAGATCAAAATGAGTTTTAAATTTTATGCAATCTTAAGATTTCGTTACCATTAAATTTGAACCATAATATTACGGAATAAGGTTTAAAAATTACGATACTGCAGTTCAGAAGAATTTTATAAAATTTCGACTCGATAATTGTTTTTATTTATTTTATAATAATAAAAACTTTTCACTAAAAAAACATTGACCAGTTTCTCTTTTTCATTGAATAAAATTTTGAAAACTGAACAAAAACTCTATAAGAATGGTGAAATAATTGAGCTCACTTTGACAATTTTGCTTATGAACAAGTATTTCACGAGTATTTAATTTTATGTAGTATTTATAGAACTTATCTTTCCGTGAACTTTCATCAAAAAAATGACAAAGAAACGACTGTAGCCATGTAACAAATAAGTTACAATTTTTAAAATCTGATTTATCCACACATAATTCATTTGTATTTTTTTCACTAGACTCAAATTTACAATAAACCTGCAAGACTTAAAGCTTCGAAATTAACTCTTTTTAACATACATCCCTATACTTTTATTCTCTACTAACATCAACTGCACTAAGTCTTAATAACTTATGAGATACCCCTGTATTTTTGGACAAGAAAAAAACACGCTGCGTCAAAAGCAGCGTTTTGAATGAGAAGCCAGCTGGAGCTTAAATAGCTGTCCACAAGACGTCTCCCTTGCATACAACAGTTGTTTTAACGCGAAGACGGATCAAGGAAGAAACAACAGCAACTACAAAAAAAAAAATAGTTGTTGGAATAGCAGAATCGATTTAGAAGGAATTTTTCTTTCACAGCTGCCTTTCTATGTTCGTTACAGTTCTCTGGCCTCGGGCTTTCCTGAAAAGACCAATCAATAATTTTATCCTTTATTTTTACTTTTGTTTCTTTCGCAAGTCTCGATCAATTGGTCGACAAAGAGTGATATTAACAGTTTCCAGAAAAGGCACGTTTGCCATTTGAGTGTGAGACTCGTTGAGCTAATAAAAATGATTGTATGGAAAGCTGACGAATAAATATTGTTTTATGTTCAGTGTTGGGTGTATTTATTTTGTCTTTTCTTATTAATGGACCGAGACGTTGTCTCAAAGAGTAAAATCACGCTTGGTGGATCATGCTTAGTAAACAAACTTGAAGAAACTATCTATTAATTTAAAAGCATGCAATGTGTTAAAGTAAAGATTAACACGCAAAGAAATATTAAAAAACTAAAACCACATCCACATTTGTTAATTAATGTCTTGGATGTAAACCTGTAAAGGGAGATTTCAAAAGGAAAAGGTAATACCATAGTTGTTAAATTATAACTAATAAATAAGCTGACTGTATATGGCCGGGATAACCTGGTCGGTAGGGCACTTCGCCCATGTCCGGGAGCTCGTGGGTTCGAACCCCGCCGACCGAAGACTCCCCGCGTAGTAAAGTGACTGATGCACGTTGAGTCTGTCGTATCGCTCAAGTCCTCCATGCTCCCATAACAAATCAACACCTCTGGGAGTACTGGATTGGAGATCGATCGCTCTCTGATTCAGGTCAAAATTATGATCGGTGGATGAATGAATGGGTCCACCCTATAAATGGGTGTGACGTATTGTGTGGCAGAAGTCGAATTCTTGGCTATAGATAGCGCCACTGGAAAACAAGAACAATCGAACCCCCTCTGCTTAAACAGGCATACGTCAACAACATCAAGCTGACTGCATATGCTTTTGAAAAAAAAATTATACCATGGTGAACAAGTAAATAAACATGCACAAATATTTTTAATAACGAATAAGAAACAGATAAGAACAGTAAAAGTCGATTGTAATGACTATTCACAATATCAGACAGAATGGTTTCAGATAGCTTGTCGCTATTAACAAATAAACGAATTGAATGTTAAAATAGCAAAAAGTGTGCTTTTGACGTCATGAGGACTGAATATTGGTTTAAATAAAATAAAAAAATAATTTAAATAAATAAAAAATCTTCGAAAGAACGCGACACATGAAAGAGTCGCTCTCTTTCGAAGTGTGTGACAAAATTCTTAAAAATATCAGAACTTTTCTTTTGTAATGAGAAATATAACTTAATGATCTGTCACACATGCTTGTTATTTGGTGGTTAAAATTGCAGGAAGGACTTGAGAAATAATGTTAATTTTTCAACTTTCAGTATAGATACCAGAAGTAAAAAGGATTTTATTGAGTTCCCTTCCGTAAAATAATGCTCATTTAAACAACAGAAAAATGTTGTTTCTTCCAAAAATTAGTAATTTTATACCGTCCGGAGATACTAGTAATTTTTTATTTGTCATAAGCATAAACTTATATATACCAAACTTTTCGGGATATAAACTTTCTTTATCCCAAATGATGTCCTTATGTCGGTGAGATAGAAAATTGTCATAATAAGGAAAATTTCGTAGTATGCAGTCTTGTGTTTTTAGTTTAAGCAAAAAAATAAAAAAGTAAAAATTAAAAATATGCATCCAGAAATAAAATAAAAAATTGCAAAATTGCATGCTGTAAATATTTTAAGAGAATAATAAGGGTCAAGATAAAACTCTGAAATATGAATCATAACTACAAAATAACTGTTAAAAAAGATTAAAAGAACAATTTAAAGTAAATCATGATTTGAGGTAAAATATGAGTCAAAAGATCTACAAGAAGCATTTCAACAGAGCACAAAAGGATTTCTGATAAGAGAACCTATATAATATGATTAATTTTATAGTATAATCTGTATACTATCTGTATCATCTGTATAGTATCTGTATCATCTGTATAGTATCTGTATAATCTGTATAGTATTATAAACATTATTGCTTTACAAAACAAGGCTTTTCATAGATTCAGCGATAGTAAATCTGATCCTCTTAACTAATGGATAATTCGAACATTCTTTGTGACTGATGATGACATATAAATATATTTATTTATTACTAACCTTAACTAAACCATGAGGCTAAATTAACAGGAAGTTTAGGGTTATTTAAACTAATAGGGCTAATTTCAACTATTGCTAAACATTATCGCCCTCCCAAACATCTTCATGTCTCGAAATCCACTATATATACTAGGATTAATTCAAATGTACTTTAAATTGAAAAAGAAAAATTTAGAAAAAACGAGCTTCTTTTCTTAAGGACTCAGTTTACACATCTCAGTTTCAGTCAACGTTAACATTGGAGGTTAAAATAAAACACTTTGAAAAATAAGCAATGCAAAATACTCTCTCTTTTATATANATATATATATATATATATATGTCAGTGTGCAAGCTTTTTAGCGAAATATTAAAAGAGTCATATTCTATAATTTTTATAATAAGTAGACGTACCCCAAAGGGTCAATCGCAAATTAAGTTGATTTTTAAATAAACAGTTAGAGTTCGTGATTTTTTTTTCAATAACGGCAGGCACTGTTCCCCTTAGAAGATGCCGAAAGTGTTGCTCATTTATCGTTACCCAGTGAGCACCTGTGAGTCAAAATCATGCAGCATTACCCACACCACACTGCCACAAATAACCGTTCATAGGGTGGGCCACATTCACACATCACACAACAGAGGACAGCACACATAGAAACATCCATGCTCTGAGCCGGATTCGAACCCGTAACCATCGGCTCCGCAGTCAGGCACGCTAACCACTCGGCCACCTGGTCGGTAGTTCTTGGTTATAGAATAATAGAAATAAAACATTCTGTCTATACCGTCTATAAAGATACCGAAAGATAAATTATTGAAAAAAGGGGTCATAAAGAGGAAATACGAAGAATCGCCTAAATTTCGCAAATTTGGCATAAAATAATGTAGTTGGTAAAAACACAGCTTATGAAGAAATTGCAATTCAATTCCCTTCGAGATTAATTAAGCTTATAAATTATAAATGTATAAGGAAAATTTAAAATTTAAAAATGCAGAATCCTGCATGATTTTTTTTAAAATTTTTTGTCTTGAAGCAAAAAAAAAATTTAAATTTTGTTTCAAATTTTAATCTTAAAAATTTTTGCTTTCTGAAAAAAAAAGGAATGAAGGAGAAAGTTTTAAATTAACCTTTCAGAGCCAATAATAATCCTCGTCAGCGGGATGAATTAAACATGAAAACGTATTAACGGAAAAAAAATGCAGTTTTTGGTATAACTTAATAATTATTTTGAAAAATACATAATAAAATTATAATTTTAATACTAAAAGGGAAAAACTTATATTTTCTATCGAAAATGTCAAGTGTTCAAGAAATGAAAAATTCGGAAATTGAACTAACTCTTAAAATAATATAATAAAATTTGAATAATTCGAAATGTCATATTTAAAAGGCTTTCAATTTTACATTTAAATGTTCTCAAAGCATGTTTTGGAACTAAATGATTATTTTCCATTTAAACTTTTACAAAACACTTTTCCGATGAAAATATATTACTTTTAACATATTTCATATAAAGCGCGTTGGAGGGAAATGATAAGACACAAAACGCATTTGAAACTGTAACTTTTTAATTATCTCCTTTGAAAAATATATTATTACAATAACTGGAATGATATTACGCACAACTTTATATTTTTTTGTTGTTGCCCTTTCTCATCTTATATACCGAGAAATTACATTTGCATTACCCGTTGTCAGTCGTAACCTTTTACAAAAGAAATAACGCAAAATTCTACAAAAACTAATTCACCATTTTATTATTCTTCTTCATCCACTGTTCCAAAAAAAAACCAAAACAAGAAATAATGATCATATCTATAATATCAAGCTTTTAGCTCGCAACATCTGAAAATGCGTGTTATTACATCACGTGACCCTGACACCCGTAAAAAGAAAATAACAATTTTGACAGTCAGGACAGCAGTAGTAATTTATAAAAGAATTGGAAATTAACTATATTAAACTAATGGAGCTAGTTCCTGTACAGAAAGGAAATTTTGTATTAAACATAACAGGATAAAAAGATGTCAATTACAATAATTGCGCAAAAAAAAGGGAATGATAGAAAAAAATATAACTACACTACTTCTGGTCTCAGGACTCGTGTTTAATAGAAAAATTTAATTTTTTTGCATAGCTAATATGTAATGTTCTAATTAGTGCATTATTTCAATTGAACTTTTAATTAAATCCCTTTTTATATTTCATAACTTAAGTCCACCTTTTAGTTTTGTAGTTTAAAATGAATGCTTAAAAATTTATTCATAATATTTTTTATTTTGCCAGTACTAAGAGCAGATTTGAAAATGTATTTATATTTAAATATTTCTATTTAAAAATAATACAATTAATATAAGGTAAACATACAATAATAACAGAATGCTTTTTCTCTAATTTCTAATTTTTAATACGTAATTCTATACATTTTCAATAAAAAAAACTAAAGACATTATATTCTGCCTTATTAGAAAATTTAAAAATATCCATGTAATAATATAATAGTAATATCCATGTTAAAAAATTTTCAAAAAATCATATTAGGTACTTTTTTTTGTATGGAAACTCCTCCGTAGGCTGATTTTCTTTGTTATTTAATATGAAAGCTTCTTCATAAACAGGAAAGATGGAATATGCTTGAAAATAATAATACACCTACACGAAAAGAAATATTGTGTAAACTATATTCAAACGCGAACATATTTTCGTATAAATAACTACTAATTTTTTACAGTTTTTTATTTATTTATTCTTTTTTGCCGATGAAACAGTAAAGATTTAGAATAAGCAGATCAACAAAAAGAAAACTAATTCTGCCGAAATCCAACCAATATTGACAGTTCCATATTAATCAAAAAAGTAATTGAACATTTTTTATCCAAAGAAATATTTTTAACATTTCTAAGAAAAATAGTATTATTCACGCTATCAAATTTAGCAGGTAGTAGAAAAAAAATGAGAAAAACTATTGAAGTTTACATTATAGTCTAGTTTTCCTTCTTATTTCTTTGATCATGTTTGAAAAATAATTTATTTATTTTTACTTAAAAATACAATATCACAGAACTAACAATAGCTTTGAATACGCAATATTCATAAATAGAAGATTTAAAACCTGC